AGATATCCAGAAATTTTAGGTATTAAAATTCCGAATGTGAAGGATCGTAATTCCAAATCTGAATTTTGAAGCTAATGCACATTCCTAGTATAAAGTCACTAAGGTTTAATTCCTGCCCTGTGTAAGGCAATCAACATTGTGTAATATGTTATTTCACTGAACTTCTAGGAAAGGCTCCCCCACACCTAGAGTCCTCCATCACCTCTGATTAGTGGCCATTGTGGCTGAAAAAAAGGAACCAATCTGTTAATTCTGGAATAACGTACTGTTTAGACTTTTAAAGAACTGAACATACGGAGCCATCTATTTCAAACTCACCTAACCTAGTACTATGTGATACAAGCAGCATCCCTTTTCCAAACCCCAGGTGGAATTTTTTTCTTGTTTACCAACTGGCAAATGTAAATAAAATGTGTCAAAGAAAATTAACATATAGCAAATAAAATTATCATTTGGCAATAATTTTTTTTATAAAAGGAACCATGGCTTAAGCCATCTGAACAGGATGGTATATTTTACTCCTGAATCACATTTGTTGCAGAATTATCACAGAGCTACGCCTGTTTAGTACACATTCTACATTAGTCACCTGTAGGCATGCAAGCAATGTCCCAAAATTTGGGGACACTTGCTCTGCACCTTTTTTAAACAGAATACTGTACCTGGGTCAAAATTGTCTCAACATATTTATTGCTTTTCCTGTTTAGTACTTTTTTTTTTGTTCCAGGCAATGAAATGTACCGGGTCACAAAAAGTCTCATTGATTTTTTTCTTTGTGAACAATTATGTTGAAAATAGAAATGATGAATACTTTTTGTCAGTAAGTGCCAGGGAAGGGGAGGAAGACACTGGCCTCAGAAAGTGTTAAAAGTGTTTATCTACCCCTGCTTTAACCCTACTGTCCTCCTCCAGCCACTGGAATTCTACTTAAAGAAATTGTTTTAATCATGGGACATGAGGGTTAAAGTGATTGTACCAATCTGCAGCATTAATTGTGCAGGTTAGTTTTAATTAGCACTGGCACAGCTTACAGCTTAGAGATAAATGAGGTTAGAGCAGGTGAACAGGAAAATAAATTACTCCTGTTTTTTCTATCTGATCCCCTGTATTTTGCAGGAAAGTAGACTTGCCTTAGTAGAGCTGTATTCTAGAGCAGTCCTTTTTACAAAAGCTCAACTAACTCAGTTAATTACAGTTCAGGTCAATCTATTGAACTAGCTCAAAATGAGAAGACAGTAAGCAATACTTTAGATTATATAGCATTATGCAAAAGAGGTTGGCAGCCCCAAAATTGATTTGCCCTGGACAAAATGCCAGATTTTGGAAAACTGCAACCTTAAGGGGCAGTGTGGGGTTGTTCTTTTTAATTAAGCCAACTATTAATATATTCGTGAAGGCTTTCACAGCAGAGATCTAATGGTTGTTGTGGGTTTTTCGGGTTCTTTGGCCGTGTTCTGAAGGTTGTTCTTCCTAACGTTTTGCTAGTCTCTGTGGCCGGCATCTTCAGAGGACAGCACTCTGTCATGCACTCTGTCCTCTGAAGATGCCGGCCGCAGAGACTGGCAAAATGTTAGGAAGAACAACCTTCAGAACATGGCCGAAGAGCCTGAAAAACCCACAACAACCAACTATTAACAACAACCAACTATTAATACTTTGGTTTCTAGTATCAAGAAAATTACATCCTCTTTTAAAGATTAATTCTCCTATGAATGCTTTTATAATAGCTTCTGCCAACATGACCAGTCTTCAACTTAAATTAGAAGGTCAGTAAACTAGCAGATTCTAATCTATATGGTTAACTGTAAGCAAGACATGCATGAGAAACTTACCACAATACATTCAATGGTGGAAATCAGCAAAACCGAAATGCTTTTGGATGAGTACCCTACTATCCTGAATACTAAAACATTAATTAGTCAAGCAAACCCATCCTTCAATTGATCCACTGGAATGAAAATCTTGTCTTTCTTCAAGCCAATGCTATACTCTCCCAAGGATAAAGATCTAGAGCCATGCAGGAGGGCTGGCCTCCTCAATAAAATGCAGTGACCCGGTGTCACCTGACTGCAGTTTGGCAACTATCATTGGTGCTGCTCTGTCAACACACCGGTCAAACCCTATGAAAATCAGTTTGGGGTTGGAACCATGGAAGGGGCAGAACAAAGAAAGCAGGAAGTATCAACATCCTCTTGGTGCACTCTAATAAGATTAATGAGACACAGGAGCCTAATCATCCCCCAGAAGCCTGGAAGTCTTTCCCCCACCAGCTCTATGCACAGACGACCTGTAGTAATTTAGGAAGAAACAACTAGGAGGACAGAGAATGCTTAGAGACACAATCCTAGGAATTTCTCAGGTCCAGTTAAACTTGATTAGACTTCCAGATTAAGTGTGTGTTGGATTGTGGGGTACAACTAGGAAGAAATCTGTATGCCTTTTGGGCCCATTCAAATAAATACAAATGTGGAGTATAACTTATCTAGTAGTTTTCAATATACACAAGTTATCTTGTCTTAAAAGTCATCCAGGTCAAAATAAATCTGCCTCCATTTCCCTGTACACCCTAAACTTTGAATGTTCAATTAGTAAAGGTACATGGAGGCACTGGAGTACTGTTTCTTCATCCTGTCTCTTCTGCACCTGCCTAATGGCAACTACCACTTCCATTTGCTACACCAGGCTGCCAAAATGTTATATAAAGTCTCACTATATTATGTTAGCAAGAGTGCACACTTAAATACATTAATCCACTAGGAGTTCTGGATTGCAAGAGCACAAGATTCATACATTAAGCTTTCTAAGGAACAGGATGTTTTGCTTCAACAATTTCCACTGTACAGCTGAGCAGAGTTTTTAGTTCCATAAAATGAAGGTTGGGACTCCATTAGGCAGGTAGCAAGAAGAGGCCAATTTGTTCTGAACAGAACAGACTGAAATCATGAAACTGCTTGTTTAAAACAATACCACATTTTCAAATTCCCACTGAATCCAGGTCACTTAAAAAAAAGTTAAAGCTAGCCAGGGTTGAGGTATTTATTAACTGTAATGCCATTAGCTATATAACAATGTTAGATGTTTTAGAAGAGGTAGCTGTGTTAGTCTGTGCTAGTATATCAGGTTAAAAAATTAAAGATTTTTTTTTGCTGTGTTAGTCTGTGCTAGCATATCAGGTTAAAAAATAAAAGAATTTTTTTTAAAAAGACAAAAACTGTGGCACCTTAATTGTTTCTTAGACTATTATCAAGTGTGAAACTCTGCAACTATTGTATTGCATTTCCTTCCTAACTAATCAGAACCATCTTACAAGCTTCAATGGTAATCAGAGATATTAATTACCTTGTTTGTCCTGCTATGTTTATAGCCTGAGATTAATTTAGTCACCAGTCACTGTCACTGTTTACAGAACAATGCTTCCTGGGAGGGAAACTGAATATGAACAGTGGTTGTAAAAATTACTGCCAGATGTGAAATGCCACGTCATCAACAACTTGTTCCCATGAAATGGTCTCTCTTCTTGGGGACCATGTATAACTATTTGCCTCGTAGTCTCACTCTTATGGCTGAGGAAGTGGACTTGTCCACAAAAACTCACATTAAAATATAGCAGTTAGTCTTTAAGGTACCACAATATTTTTGTCTTCTTTATTTTTTTTATTATTCTTTTGTTTATGACCTGCAGTGTTAGATGTGACTTTTTTTTCTGTACCTCACTCCATCAAAGGCAAAACTAAGGATACAACATGACACGAAATGTATTTCTTCTTTCTTTGAACATTTACAAATGGCAAGTGCCAACTGAGGTCCTTGACTGAAAACACAGAAAATGAAAACAGGGCTTAAATCTTCCTCTCTCACAGTATTCCATATGAACTATTGAAGCCACTACTTATGTCTCCTATTCCTTAGAGAGCATTACCCATGAATCTTGTGCTCTTCAGAGTCATAACCCTAAACATACACATCCAGCTAGTTAGTCTGAGGACTAACTAAACACACACCTACTCAAGCAGTGCTCCTAGAAAGCCACTCAGTGAGGATGGATAGGAATCTTATGGCTAGAAAAGACTTTAGTGCTTGAGGAACATTCCAGATCCACTTCAGATTTCTGCAATGCCTTGTATGCCATGAAGCCTACTACTGTACAATACTTTTCAGAATATAAACAAACCTGAAAATACAGGTGAAAAAGTTTCAGAGTTTTGAATTTCTGGTAAAATTCCTATTTGCTACATAGCAGAAGTACAGGGACTGACAGAGGAGAATAGTTAGTAGCTCCCTGGATGTTCCACCCCTTTCTTCTTAACTGGCACTCAACTCACTCACTGTTTATAATAGAAAAAAAAACATTTCATTAAGTTACTGTTGTTTGAAATTAAACTGGCAACCAACCGAAAAGTCCCTTCCAATCACACAAACTACAGATAACATATGAGATCACAAACAGCATTCCAACAATTTCATCACATAGAAATTCCACGTAAGGAAAGCCCATACAACACATTAGGTTATACAGACAGTTACCAGAAAGATGAAATAGAAAAATTTATAACTAAAGCACATAACTTTGCAACTTTATTTAAAACCGTCAAAGCAAATCCTCGCTTTAAAAAACAGGGGCCCATAATTCCCTACATCTTATATGCAGCTTTAGTTGCTAAACCACACTTGTGCCAGAAAAAAAAACAAAAACAAAATTCAACATCTCAATTCAGCACATTTGCTGTATTCAATCACATTTTCTGCATCTGCTATGAAGCGCCTGTACTCTTAAGCTTCAAGAAGTAGCCAAAAGAAAGCACAATGAAAAAAGGCAAGGCCTTCAGGTGAATCCAAAGTGTGCCATTTTGAAAATGCTTTTAACCTCATACAAGAAAAAAAATACAGCTGTGCTCTCAAAGGCCTCTCAAATGTGTCTGGAGAGAACGAGTGCAATAAATGCAAGAAGAAACATGTGGTCAATCACTACAAACAGAAACAGCAAAGAGTTTAATTCATACACAGTGCAGACACCACAGCCTTTCCGTTTCACATCTGATAATTCACTACTTCTAGATGCAGAGTTGATTCTCACTGGTTGCTCATCATCTGGTGTCTGTAACACAAAGTGCAGAGGCATAATTTTCATTTATAACTTCAAAATACAGAGGTAAGTATATTACTTAGCAGATTCTGTGTATTCTAAGAGGGTAGCCAGGCATTAATTAAATTCATTACACTTTTATCATCAGTCAAATTACAGGAACTTAAGGGATTGGTTGTCCAATGTGCCAAAATATTATCTGGCTCTGGATACTTTGCTGCTTCAGGGTGGCAGGATATGCTACCCTATCTTCAAAAGCAAAATGATTTATATACTGTAATAGCTTCAAATACTTTTACAGGGTAGACAATCCACACCGTGAACCCTAATTTATTAAGTTACAGGCTATGAAAGGATAAGCATCGTTTCCCGCACGTCCCCACACACTCTCCACTTTACAAGCAGATTCAAAGTACAGCGGAAGAGGACACATTACACAGCAGATTATCTTGTGCACACTACAGGTTACTTTCTGAGGGCTGTAAACAAAAGTGCCCAGGGTTTCCATATAAGTGGAAAGAAAGTAAGGTACCAATCTCAACGCTGAGACGCACGTGCACAAAGAAGAAAGGAAGGCCTCCTTGCCTCTGACATAACACACGGACGTGCTCTCACGTATACTGGAAGCCACGTGCTGGAATTATGCACAGCCACTTGAACTATGTTTGAGATAACTATTCTCTCACTTCCTTAATCTATACACACCACAACCACCAACCGGCCCCACGTGTTCAAGTTTAAACAAAGCAGCCAGCAAAACCTAACCCTCGCCATAAAAGCAAGAGCGGGGGAACACAGAATGGAAGCAGAACCCCAGAAATTTACAAGCAGAACCTTGACAAACTCCAAATATCTTATCAGGAAAAGACCAGCAAGCTACGGTCTATAACCGAATCTCCCTAAAACGGCCATTGCACCAGGATGGCCGCCAACCCGGGCCCTTCGCCGGTCCTCCTTCGCGCCACATCCCCACGAAATGGAGACGGGGGCGGGGGAAGAAAAGAGACGCCGTTCTCCCCACAATTCATGCCAGCCACCCCTCTTCCTCCTCAGCCCCCTCCGGATCCTTACAACCTAGCCGTCGTGGTCCCAACCTAAAGCAGCCCCAAGGTGGCCTCCGGGCGGGCCATTCGTCCCCAAGACGCCTCAGCCCCGGCTCTCTCCTCTCCCCACGTGGAACCCCGTAGGCTCCTCCATCAGCACCGAGAGCGAGCGAGCCGCTCGGGTAACGGACCTACCAGCCACGCCACCCCACCCCGGGGGCCTCCCCTCCCCAGCCCAGCCCAGCCAAGTAACGCTACCTGATGCCTGCAGCCAGCCTAACGCCAGGCGTCCCCCTCGCCTTTCGCCCTCTGTTTCGCTCGGCTTTCTTGCAGGGAGATACTCCCCGCTCCCCCCGCCCCCCTCACGCACTCTAATGAACAAGGGGAGGAGTTGAACCTCCTGAAAAGGGCGGGCAGTCGTGTGGAGTTGCCCGAAGGGACGTCGCGGACCACTGGGCATCCCCTTCCAGGGCTGCTGGGAGAAGCAGCGAGCGCCCCTTGTTTGGGGAGGAGCGCCTCTTTATTGTCTGAAGGACCGACCCCTTTGTGGTGGGGCTTGGCTTCCGAGGAGAGGCGGGAAGAGCGAGTCGCGGGGTGCCCAAGGCGATGCGGTCTTCGGCACGTAGCAAAGGGGAGCGAGGAGGAGCTGGGATCTTTTGGGTAAGAAGCCGAGAGGGGAAAAAAAAGCAAAAGAACCCCTGCTTCGACTTTCTCTGTGACTGGAACTCCGCCTGCTGTCTGTGACAAATGTCCCTCATTAACTGGATTCCCAAAAGGAAGAAGATAGTCTAGCAAGAATTCAAGTCTGACTTAGGAGACGTTTGTTCACCCGCACTGCTTCATATTTTGCCAGGAGTCAGTTCTAATATTGAAAGGGTCCTGGGATAAAACCTGGTTCAGATTAACCCTTCTCTGGCGTTTAAACCCAGGAATGAGGTTTCTTCTGCCAGAGGTGCTCTGCCTGCTGTGCTTATTACTGTTGAGGATTCCAAAACCTGCTCCCTAAAATCTAGTTTATACGCCATATATGGCGACTTCTCTGCAGTCAGCATCCATGTCCCTTCCAGACATGAGCATCAGTCCTTAACGCTGTAATTAAGGAAAGTGCCCTTTTGAACATACTTTCTGAGCAAACTTGCTTGTGGAGTTTTCTGTTGGTGGGTACCTGTGCTATGAACAGAGCAGTTCTGCAGACTGAGACCAAAGTCCACAAGCTGAAGCTGAGAAAACAAAGTGAAACATATTGCTGAAGGCAGGACAGGATGGCGGGAATAACATTTCATGCAGGCAAGGAGGCGAAGTATTGGAAGTTATTTTAGGCAGCAGTTTTTCAAAAATGAAATACTAAGGGTCCCCAACCTTTTTGACACCAGCAATGGGTTTAGTTGAAGATGGACTGGGGAGGAGGGGAAGGTTAGGGTTATGCAGTAGGTTGTTGGAGGATAGCTTTGAATTGAGCTCATTACATGTTTTGTGCTGTAGCAGATGAGCGTGGAGCAGGAGGTGAGTTGCAATTGCAGCTCCACCTCCTGTTAGATCGGCAGCGGCCTAGAACCTAATAGGAGGGCAGGCTTCTGTGAGACTCTAATGCCACAGGCACAGCTGATCTGGTAGCAGCAGGAGAGGGGCAGGGAGCGAAGCTCCGCCTCCTGTCAGATCAACCTCATAGGAGCGTGCTGACAGGAGGCGGAGCTTCACTCACCGTTCACCTCCTGCTCGCTGCTCATCTGTCCCGGTGGCCTGATCCCTCCAAGGCCACGGACCCGTACCAGTCCGTGGCCGAGGGGTTGGGGACCCCTGGCCTAGTGCACTAACAGAAGCTGGAGTTGATTTTAATGAGATGACTTTGCTGCTATGTGCCATAAAGTTGGAACTGACTTATAGTGGCCCTAATAAGGCTTTCAAAGTGACTGAGATATTTAAGGAATGATTTTACCAATGCCACATACTCAATGATTTTCCGTGGTCGAGGAGGGATTTGAATCCGGGCCTCCTGAGTCTAGTTCATCACTGTATCCACTACCACACCTAGTATCCAGAATACCTGTAATATGCCATGATAAACAGAAATGGAGGGACGAAGACAATGTATTCTATGGATGATTCAGGGAGAGGGATGGGGACCCAGCTGAATATATGGATCTGAAATTTTGCAGGATAAAACAGGTCAATTTGAGGGCAGTCTGTGCCATTTTGAGGTAAGGGTGAGAAATGATTTATCATAGGAATTTAGCATGTCTGGCTTTCTGCATGTTTACAGAAATGATTTCTTATATTGTTAGGGACTAATACTGTATATACTTTCCCATTATGTTAGTGTATTGTGACATTACATTTTGTCTTGTTCAGGCCATTTTGGACTATACACTTCAGAAAGTCCTTTCGGTACATGCTCAGTTACATTTTGTGTGGGAGAGACCAGAAGGAAGGGTACAAAATGAGAATGTCTATGGTTGCCAAGGAGATTGGGCCTGCTTTACACATTTTTTACAGCCTACTCTAACTCCAAAACAGAATATTTTATAAAATAACCAATACTGTTCCATCTACCAGTAAAGAAGAAATTAAGGGAAATAAAATAAAGGGAAAGTGTTACATGTGAATGGTTTAACTCATTTATGCTGGTGGTATCTCTTTACAGGAACAGATTAAATTCCATATTACTAGTACCTAATTGGCAACCAGTGCCATCCACATTGAGTTGGAGAGGAGCTTGAAGATCATCTGGCCCTCGCCCCATCATCAGAAAGACATTTTGAAGCATCTTTCCTTTTAGTTAAGTAAATGAAAGAGTAGGCATAGTAAAAAACAATTCTACTCTAGTGGCAGCACAGTGTTGTGCATGGATCCTAAGTGTTAATCGGTTAAACCAAAAGAGCTTTTTTTTTCTTTGTTGGGAGGGTTGTATGTAGTACAGTAGGACCTCAGTATCCACGGCATCCGTATCTGTGCTTTCACTTACACACAGTCTGAAAATATAAAAAATATTAAAAGAAAAAAATCCAGAAAAACTATTTTCACATGTATTACCAGAACTGACCACTAGAGGAAGCAAGATATTGTGCTATGAATACTTGTTAGTGGAGAATACATAGTATGATATCTGCCACCATCTGGTGTTCACTATTATCTGCAGTTTCCAGTATCTGCAGGAGACTTGGAACTAATCCCTAGCTGATATAGAAGTCCTACTGTACAGTGGGGTCTTGACTTGAGAACTTAATCCGTATTGGAAGGCGGTTCTCAAGTCAAAAAGTTCTCAGGTCAAATCTGCATTTCCCATAGGAATGCACTGAAAACCATTTGATCCGTATCTGCTCTTTTCCGTCCATAGAAACTAATGGGAAGCTGCTATTCCGCCTTCGACCACTAGAGGAGGATATTTTGTTTCTTTTTTTCTTAGGTCAAGAAAGGTTCAGGGAAGGCAGGGAAAAGACAGTCCAGGCAGTTCAGTACCAGGCAGTCCGAAGACTGTCTCCCAATCCACTCTCTAAACGCTGGGAGGAGTGAGGTAGCAGACAGGCACCCTTTTCACTGGCCAACAGTTAACTGAAAGTTCAAATTTTGCACTTTCCCTGCCTCCCACGTGGTTTTTTTTCAGTTCTTAAATCTAAGTACTTAAGGCAAATCAATATTTTCCTATGAGAGCGGTTCTTAAGTGAAAATGTTCTTAACTCAAGCCATTCTTAAGTCAAGACCCCACTGTAATTGTGAGAAGAATGTGAGGACCATTAAGTTTCTAAGGAAACTTAAACTTACCCACAAACACACACGCAGAAGTCAAAGCAGTGATGCTCCCATGAAGTAGTGGAGGTCACTCACAATTTGCTGAGGAAATAACCAGCGATTATTGGCATGTAATCAGATGAAATACAGAAATGGGAGCTTTATGGAATGGAGGAGGATGGCGAAAATGGAAAATGAAAGCCATCCCGGGACCTGAATAAAACAGAGTGAGGTCATAACTTCATGCATCAGTCATTGATAGACTAAGGTTTTTGCCATTCAGCAATGCCCGTTCAGTGCTGTTTATCTGGCTCGGAGCCTTGGGTTCAATGCATGGAGCTGGGCTTCTTGAAGGGATATGTCCCTGAAAGGTCCCATCAGGGGTCTTCAGTATAGCTAATATGCTGTTTTTTTGGAACAGGAGGCTTGTGTTTTAGTCCAGCAGTGCCAAAATCCTCAATTGGATCTTCTCTAATGTATTTTGGAATTTGTGATATAGCTAATAATTTTCTATATATGATGAACAATAAGATTTTTTTAAAATGTATGCCTTTACAGTCCTATCTTTACCATAGCCTTTTAAAGCATGTTCCATGTTAGGCCAGATTTTTAACTTTCAGACCAACATATTTATCAGTATGTATATAGTCTCATTCTGTTTGGTCATAAATAAACCATATTGTGTTCAGTGGACTTGACTCACGGACACGGGGGGGGGCAGAATTCTACAACATGTTGTTCATTTATGTCTAATAAGGATTTACACATTTACTGTATAATAAGTTGATCTATGGAAGGTGGAAATTTCTGCCATATGTGAACAATGTTTTGCCTTCTAGTACTTTTTCATCTAATTTGTAGTGGTAGCCGTGTTAGTCTCTGAAAGCGTATCATACAACAACAACAAAAATCAAAAGCCAAAAAAGAAGAAAAAAGATGACAAAAACGTGCCACCTTAAAGCTTAAGTGCTATATTTTAATATGAATTTTCATTGATTAACTCCACTTCCTCAAACATAAGAGTGAGACTACATGACAAATATTTATACATTTATACATGGCCCCAGAATAAAGGGACAGTGGTTTGTTGGTAGGTACAAGTTGCAAATTGTGTGAGTCAGTGTGATATTTCACACTTAGTAGTGACATAAGATCACTGATACTAAGTTCTTTTCCTTTGAAGCTTGTTCTGTAAAGGTGGCTGTGGTTTGTTGGGAAGCTGTGCTGGCCAGGATTTCTGGGAATTGTACTCCAAGAATATCCGGGGAACTAAAGATCCACTGCTCTGGATCCTTATCCTGTAATTTTTTTCTCGGGATGGCAGTTTTCAAATCCCATGAAGATTATCCGGGTAGATTAAAATGATTTGAAACAGATTTCTGTGTTTTTCATCTACTTTACTATTTCGTGCTGATAGAGATCTATACTGACAGCCAGGAACTTCTAAAGTTGCCTGTAGGTAGATGGGCTATGAGATTGATAATTAGCCTCATGATATATTTGCACTAATTCTAGTTAATGCTGCCAGAAAATATTGTCGTGTCTACAATGGATCTTTGTAGATAAGTAAAGTTCTGCCCTAGGGCTTCAGGAACAGTCTGTGAGAATGGGAATGATTATTGAGACTGCATTCCTCTGCATACCTACTTAGATATTTTCCCACTCAGCTCATATTTATGTAATATAATTGTGCTATAAACCTTGTAGATTAAACCATCAGCTGCTGAATTGAAACTATGTGATACACAAGAGTTTCATCCCTGTTTTCAAACAATCATGCTGTCTAAAATTCATTGAGAGATGGCTCATGGTCTGAGAAAGCAGGTGTCTCATCACAAAATATAGGGGTGATCCCTCCTTCCCATCTAAGACTACAAGCAGCAGTTGCTTACATTCAC